GCTCGAAGCTTTTAATTTGTTACCTACCCGACCAAACGCCCTCCCCACTCTAGCGTTTCCGACCTTGTTTCCCAAACGCTTCCCAAAAACTCGGTAATGAGTCCTAACAACTCACCGAAGGTATCACCGTGCGGAGCTCAGCTCACGCAGTGTGTTAGTTGAACCAGTAAGGACGAATGAGACTCACTTGTGTCTCACTGTGTCGCATAATCGTAATTGGAATATAACTAATCTTATGCCGACACAGTGAGACAAATGGGACTCATTCGTCCTTCTGGTTCACTAACACACTCGCGTGAGCTGAATCTCCGCAGCATGGTGATACCTTCGGTGAGTTGTTAGGACTCATTACCGAGTTTTTGGGAAGCGTTTGGGAAACAAGGTCGAAACGCTAGAGTGGGGAGGGCGTTTGGTGGAGGAGCCATTTTCAGGCTTCTCGAAGAAGACGAGAAGGTCGAAACGTTAGGCCAGTAAAAGGTGTCATCTAAAAAACCTCGTTTGGCAGAAGTTACTGAATATTCGCTCATCTTTGCTTTGGGTCCAGCCAAGTCGTTTGGATAATGGAGCCATTTTTCAAAGAAAGGTTCATTCGTTGAAGTGCATTCTTATCGGAATAAGTTTCTCAAAGCAATAAAAGAAGAAGCCAACAGCCAAAAATGTTCTGCAGTGGAATCGCCCATAATGGCTCCATTAATTCAGAAAGCAATTATGTCCCGCGAACGATTATCAAAGCACAAGTTTATGCGAAATCTTAGGAGTGCACAGAGACCACCGGCCAAAAAGTGCAAAAGAGATACGCTTAAAAGATTCAAACCGTCAATCATATGCTCGTAGAGCCTACGACGTAGGCTACGCTGCTTTGAGCAAGATATCCTTACTCGCTTTGCTCCTAAACTCGCAGTTGGAGCTAGTAATGCTCCCACTGGAAGAGGGACGCTCAATCCGCGTCTAAAGAACTTCCAGTCGATATATTTCATTTCAAATTGCCACTTCGACCTACCATTCTTCCCTTCTTAGAAAGGTATCAATATCGCTTCAGGAGTGAGAGCTGCCCACCCTCTTCGCCCTACGCGTTCATACGTAGATCAGTTACGGGAAAAAGGATGAGACACCTTATCTACTAAAAAAACTCATTTTTACAGCTTAGCTGCCTTTGCCGCTCGGTTTTTTTCGCCTTAAATGAAACTATGAAACGCCCACTATGAAATTCTACTTGTATGAAGGTGCCCTCTAAAATGGACGACTTGAAGTCATGACATAATAGAACAATACAGAGATGATTGCAACAAAAAACGGTACAATCGTATTATGAGAAACTCGTATGATGAACTTCTTCGATGGCCGTTTTGAAACAACACATGGTAATAATAACGATATATCGCGATTAAATTCAATGAGCATTCGTTAACCTGAGGTGGACTCCCCTCTGGGAGCGGCCATCAGCGACCACAGTGTTAACAACGTCTATTCCCAAGATTGAGGACGAGGAAAAGAGAAAGTTAGGCTTGTCTCACTACGTAACAGTTATACAAACCGCCGTAAAAATGCATTACCCCGATTATTGGAGTACGGTAGCAGAAGCGCATGTAATTGCGGCTGTGACAGGAGATTATTCGGCAATTTTAGCCATGGAGCGAGAATTTCCAGCTGAGTTAGGTGTCTTTGAAGGACCATAACTTCCTCAAAAGCGGACCTGTGGGGAAGAGGAGACCGTACTCGTGTAGAGGAAGGTTTGCACTTCCTAAAAGTACTGAAACGTTTATGAACGTCGCAAAAATCACAGAGAAATCTGCCATAGGGATTCGTTGGGGAGTGGTTTCAACCGAACAGGTTTGAATCAATATATTTTTTTTGTAACTCAACATTTCACAAATCTGAGAATGGTTTCGAGTGTTTGAAGATTTTCTCTTTCTAAAAACCTCTTGAACTGTTTCTGAAGCTCTCGGGATTCATGAGATCTCGCTATGGGGATTTCTTGAGGAACACTCCCAGCTGCGCGAAAAACCCGTTTCCTGTGTACCGTTCCAAGTGAGCGTGTTCGAATAGCCAGGAACGCATGTAGAACGTATCCTGTGGTGGAGCAGGAGCAGGATATGGTTCGTTTAGCGCCGATCACGCCAACTTTGGATGCGCCGCGCACTGAGGGCCGAGGATGTGCAAACTTGCGCGTAGATGTCTGTTCACCGCGAGGCAAACTGTGTCCTAATAAGGTCAGGGAGGTCCATAGCGAGCCTGTGCACCTTGTCTACAGATGTTCCGTTGCGTATGATGGAACATGTCCCTGTCAACGCTGCCAGATTCGTGCTCCGCCAATCGCTGACTCCGATAAAGGAGACCAACTGCTGGAAAACGTCTGATATGAACGATATGGTAGTCCTGTCGCTTGTCGAGAAAAAAAACAGGTTGGCTCAGCGCCAAGCGCGACCGCGGACACGCCATATCATTGGCAGCGAACCAGAGTTTGAGTTGTACTGTTTAGTCACCAACGGACTTACGAGATAATGTCGACTTATTAATATTTGCAGTTATTTCGGATTAGTTTGATGAATGAAAGTTTTGTACTATTTTTGCATATCCGAGTTCTCTACAAAGCAAGTTTCGTTGTACAGGACTCAGCACATTGACAATTTGCGCTGCTCGTTACTGGCTGCCGCACTCACTACGACCCCCCCTCTCCTGGCGGCCAAATACGACCCCCCTGTTGGGGATTCCCCAACCAACGATGTGCCCTGATTGAAATACTATCCAAGGATCAGTCGCTAAACCCTGGTTAGTTTACCTTTAAGCTTGTGGATTTTTTTCTTCGCTCAGAGCAAAGTCTGCCACGAGAGACTCCGCTCCTGAATCATTATGAAAAAAAGAACAACACCAGCAGCCTCTGTGTGACCTCTGAACCGGCTTGCCGTTGTAAAGGTGAAATTAGTCCGCACATGGAGGGCCTCTTTCTGCACACAAGAATGAAAAAGAACAGAGCTAGAGGGTAGCAATGCTCTGCTGTAGTCTCCCTACGTCATCCGCATTATCCTCAAGGTGCGGCGCTGTTCCGCATGCCACGATTCCTCAGCAAGCACGCATTTAGAGATAGAGAACAACCTGAGGTGAGAGGGCGCAGACAAGTTAGGCATTTGGCCATGGTTGGGCGTGCGGCTAGCCATGCTCCAGCGCAGGCGAAGTAGGTAGACGGCTTGCTGGTATCGCTACGCCCAGCCCAATTCCCGTGCACATTTGTGCCGTGAAAGTGGCACGCAATGCAGCTGCGACCCCATTCCCCTCGCACATGGCAATGACCATTCTTTAAGGTGAGTATACACTGCACTGAAGTGAGTTGTTACTGAATGCGTTTTGAGGTGCATAGAGGTGTCCGACTTTGTTATTGAATATCTCTAAGATTTTTGAAGAATGTTCGCGCGGAATCAGGAATAGAAGTAGATAGCGTTGGGAGGATACTGTGGTCTGCGACGAACAACCTTGTACCGATTTCGCGGCAAAATTCGTAGGGGAAGGGTGCTATAGCGCAATATAGGTCCAGTGGCACCTCCTATTCTCCAGTGGACTCCGCCTCCTGACACGCGTTCGAGGTCCGCCTTTCAGAGATATACTAAGCTGCAGGACGAAAAAGCATGACAATGGTACACTTGTTACCGGTCCCAAAGATCGTCTTGTCGGGGAACCATAATATATGCAGATGAGGTCCAGTCTTGGAGGTGGGGTCAACTGCGCACGTACAAACTAGAATCGGAATGGGGTTTTATCTAGAGAAGTTGGCATACTGTTTTTCTGCTTTTTTTCTTTCTTTCTTATCGTGTGACTCAAAGCCTTGTCGTTCATAAGCAGTCCCCTTACGGCGAATAGTTGTGAGCTTTCCCTATAAGGGAAGTCGTTTTGGTCATCTTACAGTTATGACCATATGAGCTTAATGTCAATTTCTTAAAGGCACCTTTCCCGGCGACAACTTCAAGGTGATATATCAAAAATTAGAATTGTTTCTGTGATTGTTGACTTATTGAAAGAGAAGATTCACCAACGAAGCCTCAGAGACCCTTTTAATTTCAAATTCGATCATGATCACTGGATAAAGTGTCCAAGATCGAGCTGAGATGGCAAAAGGGCGGCGAGAGTACTGAAAGAGACGGTAGAGGCCAGAAAACGACGGGTGAGAGAGCGCAATGGCAGTCTCACAACGACACGGTCAGTGGAGGCCGGCATGGGCCTATCGGGCGCCAGTGGGCCCAAAACCTGAGCGTCCTGCGCTCTCCTTGTTGTTTTTCAACTTTTAAGCGCAGTATAGCCTCTGCTGTTGCCTGCTTGAGCATCATGTGCGTTTATGAGGTTCTAGCCTTAGTTCTATGCGAAACCGTGCCTTTTAATTTGAAAACCTATTGCAACCTCAGACAGGTGATAAGGTTAATGTTTGAGCACTTGTTTTGCACAGTATGTGGCGAGAGAATCATAGTTCACCGCGCCAGTGGGCGCTGCGTACGACGTCGCGCCCGACGACGATTTTAGGTGGTATTGGTCGAGACTAGACTATGTGCGATCGAAATAGAAATAAGTGTTTACCAGGTCTTTGTCTACATGAAATACGAGGGTTAGGGCAAATCAAGGAAACGCTGCGCCCATTGTCGCGCGCGACGAAGCGGCAATCTACGGTTCTTTTGCCCGTTTCCCGTGTAATGGCAATTTGAAAATTCGGATAGGGATCCATTTCAAACTTCAGTTCTTATCTCGCTGGAAGTGCCCATTGTCCATGTTCTATTTTTGCGTAATAGAGGACGGCGAATTTCCTGACACAAAAACATACAGACGAAGAGACAGACAGGCAGACAGATAGATGAATAGACAGACAGACGAAGCTGTTTATATATAGTAGGATAGTAAGTTGCCAAGTTATTATTCACATTTGAACAGAAACAAATTGTTTTGAGTACTGTTCACTAAGAACTCCTCAGTGGTGTAGATAACATTGTATTTTACATTGAGTTATGGTACAAGAAAGTCTTCTATCGAATTCGAAGTCGCTTTGCACTTGGTGCGTTATTCAGGTAGCGCACGGACGCCATTGGTGCCTGAAAAAATGCCAAGGTTGATCGTTTTGACTCGTGCGTAACTGCAACTTCAACCTGGTCATTATGAACCATCATTTGAGGGCCTGCACCGTACGGTTCTTGAGCGACTGGCATCATCACAGGATTATTCTGTAAGCAGTGGAATTAGGAAAGAAGTCGATACTATCCCTGTTGTACTACAGTCTACGCCGATCATTTGGGCGGAGACAGTCGGCTTCGTCGCTGGCGCACGTATCCCGTATGCCATCTCGGAAAGAGGGCCACAAATGAGAACGACACAATGGTTGTTTCTCTGTGCCCATAAGGTCGGTGCAGACTAGGCTTTGAACTGAGAAAAAGAAATCAGAATTGGAGACAAAAATCGGATGGCCTACCTGCTGTGGCATGGCGTATGACGGCATTGGTGGTTGTTGAGGGGGAACTTGGCTGAAAAAGTTCAAACGTTCACAGTATCTCAAGAGGTGTAAAGTAAACTCCACATTAATAAGGCGCGGTAGGCGTGGCTACTTACTTTATTCGAACATGGCATGGGATGGGATGGTTCGTGGGATAATTCTTTGCAAGGCAAGCGTCACCCTGGTATATCCTGCCCCTAGACATGAAGAAAGTTTCCCAAAATTCAAATATCACACCAAAAACGCAGCCGCCGCCACCCATATATGAAGTACCTAGCCATGCCTACCGCATCTCTGGAATGCGACCTATACCTGGTGAGCCGCACTGCCTACACGCATCCTCTGGAATGCGATCTAATACCTGGTGAGCCGCACGCAGTCAACGCTCTAGAAAAAAAAGCTTCGAGTGTGGCCAGCCAAACCTGTTCGAGTTTCTAACTACTCTCATCGCAACTTTGTGAGGCGAAGAAAAAAGTAAATTTAGTCCTTTCTGCATGCCTTGAGAAGCAAAGTAAATTAGTCCCTTTCTGTACATATGCTCCTTGACGTGATGATGTTCTTTCGACAAAGCTATAACCCTTTCTGAGAGGCTGCCATCAAAGCAAACCTGCTGCACTGACTTTCAGGACGTCCTTGCCATGTGCAAGATAAATGGGTCGCAACTGCAGTAGCGTCTTCGCTCTGAAGCGCACGGGAACGAAGTGGGGAAAGTAGTAGGCGGCTGCCGTCTCTCCCGAGGCCGCCCACACTATCCCCAAGGTGCGGTACTTGCGATAGCAGACTCCCGAGCCTTCTTCAAACACGCCTCAGCGGTAAGCGAGACTAAAGAGGACGGGACAAGCAGCCGCGTCTGCTAATGGTTAGCGCGCGGCCGCGCGTGCAGAGGAGACGAGACACTGGTATCACTGCCCTGTAGCGTCGTTCCCATGCACTTTTCAGTGGAGAAAGCGGCACGCGCCAGCAGCTCTTGGACCCAGCCACCTCGACACTTCTCACGGGAGGTGAAAGCACAATTTGTCCTCACTTATCGTGACAGCAGTTGGTTCAAAAATTCTGAATTCTCCACACTTTTGATATTCTCTTTTCCGCAAACCCAGACTTTTAATTTTGGCACGTGTTCGGGGCAATAATGCAATCCATATCTCCTTGCATATTCATAGAAACGTCTGGCCTTACCTGCGCCGCGTTGATTTGAGGATTAGATATGGAAAATTGCACCAACGACTACAGCATCATCTAGTTCCAACTAGATTCTGCTTCACCCTCTCAATTTTTTGGATCATTCGAAAGTCATCCGAATAATCCCAAAAGGCAAAAGATTGATCTGCTCAAATCGCCAGTCGACGAACTTCCACTTGCGCCCGTCGGGATCGCGCACGTGAAGGAGTTCTCAAAGTAGCTCCCTCCTGCCATGAGAAATGTACAGCACATGTACGTCCCGGTTGTAGTTTTGTGTCAAGTTGGGCCTGTGGAAAGTTATTTCGGTTATGTACCACACATCGAATGGTGTTAGTTATCGCTGTCCTCGAGGCAGAGAGAACATCACCCTCGCAGTCGTGGCAGGGACGAATATGGAGACATTAACTGGCGCGCCGCCTCGATGATCAACGGATAGCAACAAGTGATCAAACGGTAGCGCATCGAAGGCAACATTTATACGCTAATCGCTTTGGTGGAGACATGGCGAAGAACAGAACGTCTTTTGTCTATTACTTCATTGGTGCCGCCATGCTCTTTACAAGGGACTGGAAGAAGAGGGCGCACCAATCAGAAAAACAGCGGTTCTTTTGTTTTCATCCACACAGTAATTGGTTAGAACAGTTACAAGTGATGGTTAGAACGTACAGAGGAAACGGAGCAGCTACCACTGAAGACGACGGGGCCGTCGAATGTCCAGCAGGTTGAGACATCTGTCTAAATGTCATTCGTTTAAGTGTTGTGAGTGCTCCGATTTCCTTGAAGTAGTGTTATTTTTTGTTAATAAGACGCACATAGAAATCGAAGTAGGTGGTGCAGGTGTCATTGCTGGTGGTAAAGCTCCCATTGTCAGCGAAGGCGAAACAGGCGAAACAGACATTCTTGGGGAAGCATCAATTATTGTAGGCGATGCTGGAGCATTTTGGACATATCTTAAATCAGTCGATTGGGACGTTCATAGAAAATCACAATTGATCACTGAACTAGCCTACTAATGAAACATTCTGCGACAATAGGATGGGCGGAGACCCATAACCGGTGTGCTTTCTCATAGGCGAGCCCTTCATCTCCACAATACCAAAAGGATCTGACAAGGCACCAGTGAAGACGCTGTGGTTGCGAGTCTCCGCCATCATCTCCATTATCGCAGAATGTGGACAGTCCCTAACAGGGTACAGCATGTGAAATGGTGGTGTCAGTGAAACCCCCCCCTGAAAAAGGGTCTCGGTACGACCCCTACCTCCCCAGCGGCCAAGTACGCCCTTCCCCATGTGTTTCGCACAACGATGCTGTACCCTGGTCCCTAATCTATTCTAGTTTCTACTGTACTTTATGTCTCACATCGGTGTCGGTTCCATCAGCTGAGCGGGGCTTTGTTGATAGATCCTGTAATAATTTTACAGTAGAATATCTCTGAATTTTGTAGACTATAACATTTTCTGCATACGTCATTCACTGCTCAAGAGAGCTATCTGGAATGCGATAACCACGAAAGTATTCCCTCTTGTAAAACTACCGTAGTGTCGTGGGTGGAAGCCTCCTGCTCTGGAAAGCATCTAAAATGTGTGCCTCCCTCAGACTCCGAGTTCTATAATGCAACTCTCAAGAGTTTTGTACGTGCTTCCATCGCGAGTGGTCGTGCGGACATCACCGATCTTCGGAGCTGCTGTAGTTCTGTTAATTCTAAATTGTCTACGGAGTTGCAGTTGGCGGGTCGCTCGCAACAAGTTCCGTTCGTCTATGAAAAATCAAAGGAGCGGTCCGCGATGGCTTATGGAAATGCAAGAGGTTGTGTGGGAAGGTAGTGCGGTCCGGAGTGGACAACCCTGGTCATTATTGGGAATCAGCCGACGGAAATTTTCCCAGCGCGCGGTCTTTTACCTCCACAATTGTTTGAGGCTAGAGGAGGCCTGACGAATGCGTTTCCAACGTTCCCTTTGGCATTTTCTCTTCATAGATGGTTCACTTGGCGAATTTTCTTCCACATTTCTGCAAAATCACCTAGGCTTTTTATCGCGGACCGTGCCTTTAAGCAATTTTTCTTCAAAAAGAGAGTTGAAGCGGAAAAAAATACGTCATCCCGTGCCCCACCTATTCCACCCCTGACCCGATATTAGAGCTGCTTTCCGAGCAGACAGACAAACAGGCGTAGCAGACTAATGTGGAGTCATTATCCCGGCAAACGAGAGGCAGGTGAAGAGGTGTGGCAAGAGCGCAGGGCTGCCCTGATTTCTGATCAAGTCACGCCCTCTCACACCCTATCGTTTGCAGGGTGCATGACTATACATGTTCTGTTCGGCGATGTCAAGCAGCTCTTTCAAGGAAAAAACATCCAGTGATGGCAACGAGCTCGGCTGTACGTCACGACTGACAAATTAATTTCTGAATGGTTTCAAAAATATGATTTTCATTGTAGAATAGATCGAACTTGGAGTTTAACTTTTTTTTAATTTAACTTGAAGTACAATAGCTCGTCCTTCAGCCGGGTGTGTGACAAGAGAATCGTAATTCACCGCGCTGGTGGGCGTCGCGTGCGACGTCGCGCCCGCAAATGACGATGGTTCCAGGTAGTAGATGGCGACAACAGGCAATTCAGAACCAAAAATAGTCATGAATGTCTACGATGACGGGGTCTACATGAAGTCCGGTGCTCCAATCGACAGGTTAACACGAGTTAAGAAAACGCCGCGCCATCGCCGCGCGCGGCGGAGCGGCAAATTACGATTCTCTTGCTCGTCT